GTTTGGTAATATAATAAAGGAAACAACAACGTCATATAGATAAATACGATTTACTTCAACCATACCTTGTCTTGTTACAATATTCAATATTGATATGCGCTCCAAATCGTAGTAACAAATATCGATTGTAGGGTACAACCCATCGATTATCCAGATCAACGCCGCCACAGTTGAAAACTCTACCATTGTTCCGCCGACGATATTTAGCAAACCCAGTTTCATCAATAGTTGTTTGAGAAGAGTATTCCTTGGGGTAATGCTTACTACATTTCCCATTCTTCATGCACACATTATTAGGACGTACTGTACCACACGGGCCATGCATCATTGAACTTGTGACAACTGCATACAGTTCAGGATCAAGATCAGGATCCGGAATTTCAGCACATATTATGGAATCAATAGCCGCAGGACCATGGAATTTATTCTCCGAGATCAAAAAAAGCTATATGTGTGCATGAGGGAGACCCCGCTTTTGCCATTCAATTGCTTTGACATCTGTACAGCAAGATGCAAATAGTGGAAAAGGAATATTAGTTCAATGAGGTAAGAGAGTAATGGATGAACATTAATAGATAAATAACGAATGAATAAGCACACATACATGCATTGATTTTCCCAAATATTTGTTTCTCGCGAATCTCTAACATAAACTCATCAAGCTTGATTTTGAAAACTCTGGCGGTGATGTCAGCCCGGTCAGGATCTTTGCCACTTTACCTTCTAATCAAATCAACCATTAACTGTATCTCTGGCCAGTTAGAATTGCAAGTGAATGTTATAAACAAATCAGGATAACCAATCCACTTGCAAATAGCCATCGCATCCTGAAAATTCTCATACTTGTATCTTGGACTACCAGTGTGTGAGGCAGCTAAAATAACTGGCTTCCCAGAAAGCTTGATATCACTATCCCCTCGCAAATAAGAATTCAACAAATCCTTGTAGTAGTGTCCTCTTAGCTTCGACTGATGGGTACGCATCCAGTCTAAGCGTTCAGCCTCAATTAACACAAATGCATTCACCATATATTGTTGAAATAATTTACCAGATAATAACAGAGAATTCGACTCCTGGAGACGGGTTTGAAGACGATATGCATAGAAATCACACTGGGTTATCATTTTATCTCCAACACTGATATTAGAGCTACTGTGACTATAGCTAATGCAGGGATGCCACCCATCCTCGCCATATGGGAATAAAATTGGATATTGTAATGCCATCAGACTTGGATGGTATACGCTAATCCTTTCCATTTCTGAACCCTTCTGTTGAACAATTATATCTGGAGAAAATGATTGCTCTCCTATTTCATCTACAATCAATGCTGCAATCTCATTCGCAGAGGGCAAATCATATTCTCTACTATTAATTTCACGCTTAGCCAATAGTTTCAGTTGAAGCTCCTGGACACCAGAGTTTTGTATCCTATCTCGCGCAGAACGAAATGTACGTACCAGGATATTATTGTCATCAAACATATGCTGGAGGCCTTCAACAATACACTGGCGCAACGGATTCTTGGCAGGATCAGTGGAGTAAAAGTCCATACGATTCTGCACCTCGTTATCTGAATCGTGAATGTAAAGCTGTGCAAATTTCGGACTATCCCCATCACCAGGAACAAACATCCTATTCGATGATAAATCTGACCACCGATTGAATATACATAAACTCCACGACCATCATTAATAGAGTGATTGACTTTACCTCCGAGAGAAATAAAGCAAAAAACCCCATTATAGGCTCTGATGTTAGTACGAAAGTGACGCGCTAATGGTGTATCCCCTTCAAGTAGAGTTTTAAGAAATTCGGGCACATCTCTGCGGGGAGGCAATTTCACTTTACCATGTTTGCAACATAAAGGAAATGCAGGCAACACATCATTCCGTGTAGATAAAGTACTCTCGAACCGCCACATAACTGCTCCACAATGTTGACACGTACATGAAGGTGGACCAATATCAAAAAATTCAACCAACGGAAGACCTAGTGAAATAGATAAGTAATATTAATAAATTTTTGTCACAGTAATTCATAAATTGAATGAGATTGAGAAACTGTGAAGCCGATTTAGGCGCGCTACAGTAAACACAATTATTAAAATAAATGTTCTCAAGGCAAGATAGATTGGTATACCGCTCATTTTAAGTAAGAATAAGTCAAATTTCAGGAAACACCAAAGTTTGTTCATAACACACAAATTTGCCGTTGACACATCAACATCTAAAAACAATCCACTATTTGCATAAGGTGACATGAAGCGTACATCACTAAATTATATGCATGGCATAAATGGGTACATTATATGTTCTAAAACCAAAATAGGAAACAAAATATGTTGACCAGAACACAAAAACATATATCCAATGTACAAAAACTAAACCAAAATAGAGATGAACCATTTCATGTATAATAGTGGCCATTAGAATCCACATACTTTGATTGACTTCTGTAGGAAAGAAACTTCGGCCACGTCTCTTTCTATGCAGATGAATACGTCGAAGTAATCGACTTTGCTTTTGTAATAGAAATCTAAACTCCGGCTCCAAAACTATGAACAACACCAAAACACATACGATATTAAAGAAATAAATAAAGATTCAACAATCTAGAATAGCCTAATTTGTAAGACTTGCTACAAAATTTAGCAAACAACAACCTTGGTGTTCAAAAGGCAAGCCCCTCCTATGAACCTTTTGTTTCAAAATATGATGTCTTCTCTTACGGGCGACTTGGGATAGTATTCGCCGAAGTTGAGAGAGTTGGAATTGTAAGGCAGCTTCTTCTGCAGAATTTAAATATAAAACCATGTATTACTCATTGAATAGATGAACTAATTAGAAAAATTAAAACATAGATAACACACCTCTCTCAAATGCTTCTTCCTCTTCAGCAGATAAAACACAGCGTTGGTACTGATCTTCAGGATGAATAAACACTGCTCGACGTTTCCCTAAACAAATGAGATTCAAGGGAAAATATTAATGTCAGTTTGCATTGAAGCAGTTGCGTGCTAAACCATGACACTCACATGGTACAAACGATCGATAAATCTGTGGTTGGGAAGATGGGATGACATTTTCACTATCCATATTAAATTCTCCAATAACCTGATGCAATCTGAAATAGAGGTCGTGGTAAATGATGCACCCGTTCCAGTAAATTTTGCAGCTGCCATTCATATAAATTAATTAATTGTTACAACAGAAGTTGAACTCCTCACTAATTATAAGTTTGTGCGAGTTAATGACACATACAACACACCACACAAACATAACAGTCGAAGAAAAATATAACTATATAAGGCATAATTTAAATTGATGAACAAAACACATATAACAGAATGGCTTCCAAGCTTGGGGATGCAAAGGAAGGGCGAGAAGGACAACAATGTAATGGCCAACACAAATATAATTCAAAGGCATCCATAAAAACCATATCCAAAGAGAAGTTTGAAAAAGAAGCAAGCTGGCAATAAGAAAAGCACTATAAGTGCTTACCAATTCTAGTTCTTCTAACTATACCAAGCTTATCCCTTCTTTCAATTATGCAGTTTACGCTTTGTACTTTTAGCACAAATGGATTCCAACTCTAATGTCACAATACAAATACAATGCAAATGAAGTTGAAGAACAATAAAACAAACTAATGGAGTGAGATAAAACTGTCCAATGATCTTATGTAATAACGGGAAAAAAGCCTGGTAGAACCAATACACTAACCAGTGGAGCATGCTTATCAATACCGCCTACTTTATACTTCTTTAGTGATTAGAGCTGAAAGTACATTATCAGATCATAGCCAGTCCCATTAGATTAATTAACCTAGAAACATATGAGAGAAAACCTTACTGATCAAGTTGGATTTCGACATTTACCTGCAACAGAGTTAACATAAGAAAGTAAATTGATTATGTCTCATACGTGGTGGCGGGTGGGGGACGGCGTGCCAAATTTCGTCGGCGATGGGCTGGTTCTGGACTCAAGTAGGCTGGGCCTCTGAAGTATGGGCTGGCGAGAGAAATGGATCCCCGAGGCCTTATGGTTTACGCTTTCCTTTTCCCCCGCCAGGCCAGCGGTAGTTTATAGCCGGCCCTTCGGTTTACTGACCCGGAAAACGACCCGGACGAAGTACCTGGCCGCCGCCGCCGAACGTCTCTTTCTTTCCTCTTCTTTCTCTGCGGCCCGGAAAAACTCAGCTCAAAATCGGCAGTCGGCTGCTCTCTGGAAGACAGTCTAAGCGAAGTGGAATTTAAAGTAAGCAGCTTTGTTACTTTCAAGAGAAAGGGAAAAATAAAAAATCCCCTTTTGATCTCTAGAGAATCCAATCAACAGAATGAAGCGAGGAAGGTAAGAGAGAATAAAGAAAACGGAATGAACCAAAGGTAAGGGAGATGAATCTTTGCAACCGAATCCCTGGAAAAAAAAAACCCAGAACCCGAATCCCTAAAACTTAAAAGCAGCGACAACAACAAACAGAAATCTGAAAGAGGAAGAATAACTTACGGCAAAACCAATACCGATCTAACGCTTAGAGAACGGAAATCAAAGGTAGATGCAAGCACATAAAAGAACCAGATGATTGAGTCAAGGTTTGATTTTCTGAAGGCCAAGAAACTTATTCGAATGAGGTGAAAGAGTAGAAGGAAGGGAAATCGGAAATAAAAAATACAAATTAATACAAATTAAATGAGAACGTGGGCCTAGAAGGAGAAAAAAGTGGGTAGTGAAGAGTTTTTTATACAAATTAAATGAGAACGTGGGCCTGGAAGGAGAAAAAAGTGGATAGTTGAGAGTTTTTTGGTTCTGAAATCAGGCGGGACTCTTTTTTTCCCGCTTAACACTCTGCCACATCAGCTTCCTAAAATCACTCTATGGGCAGGAAATTTTGAATGGGGGTTGCAGTTTTACTTTTCAGCTATAAATTATACTGTTGATAAGTTATCATCCATAAGAATGGTTTACTTTTCCAATAATAATATCGGTTTACTATTTACACCAAAAAATTGTTTATACATCCAAACAATAATACTAATTGTTTTTTAACTATTTATAATTAATATTTGTTTTATAGCCATGGAAAATTTTGAAATATTTAGAAACTTTGGATTTGATCCCATGTGTAAGTTCTCACAATAAGTTAGAACATCATTGCAATATCTCAATTCTCAAGTTCAGAAAAAGAACATCTCAATTATGAAGGCATTGAGGCTTGCAATGTCAATTGGTTAATTTTTAAATTTTTTTATTACGTTCAAATTCAGTTAAGAATAAATATGCATGTAAATAATCATTATTAAGATTCAAACTAAAAAACAACAAGTTCCAAACAATAATTTGAAATATTTAATTAGTTAAATAAAATTCATTTTAATACCTAATGCATATAAAATAATTGATGATTTTTTTACAAGTTCACAATAAAATTAATATTCTTCATATGTGTTTAACACTTGATCTATGATTGGTCACCTTTTTATTTCATCGGTTTGAGTAAATATTAGATGAACTTGGAGTGAATTCTATACTAGCAACACAAATTTGTAACTAAAAATTGATTGCCTCAACTTAAAATATTAATCAATAGAAAAAATTTGTGAATTATTATATTAACTGATTATTATTAATGTTAAAAGCTAGTAACACAATACTCCAATTCGGCGCTTACCATGCTGTCTGGTTTCACTCACAATACTCCAATTCGGCGCTTACCAGGCCGTCTGGTTTCACTTGCTTTACAGAACCCTTTCGAGGGTAACGATACAAACAAATGGTAATTTCAGTTCATCACAAAGGCAGACTGACAATAACTCTGAATAGAAGGCAACTGAAACTCAATATATTAGTTTCAAGCTTAGAACATTATCATTGAATCTCGGAGCAAAACAGCCGACAGCAGCCCAAGGGGTAGTATAACATAACAATATGACAGTCTGTCCCATAAAAAAGACCAGGAATCCAGCACTGTCCCAATTCTCCCGCCATATCCTTCCTTCTCTCTCGCTATCTCAAACTCTTCTCTATATCAAAGGACCTTCTCAAAAGACCGTTAACGGTGCCCTACTAACTCATCAGCAAGCCTCACACATTTTACTTTCAACTGTACAACCGCAACCCTATGAAACCCACCTAAATAAAAGAGTCTCAGCAGCAGACTTACTCTACCTTTTTCTTCTTCTTCTTCTTCTTCATGGAACAGGGAAATAAGAAAGAAAAATAACGACAGGAAAACACGGAGGATCCTACAACAAATGGAAAAAAAAGTGCTCTTTTCTATAAGTGCATCCCGTTGCTATAGATACCGTTTCCATTTGTTGTCGTCATTTTCGCAAACTTAGTGGCATGTCCGGTTTGGTAAACGCTTATTTTCGCGATGCCATTCCCAACTCCGTTGGTTTTCTCGAATCCATTGCTTACCCTGTGGCTTTGTTGTAACACACCCTCCAGTTGTCCGCATGCTGCTGCTATCAGACCTAAGTTGCACACGAAAGTCCAACTATGTTATCAAACCAAGCAAGCAACAGATATCCGAGATGGTATGATTCGTTGGTTTATCGACACAACTCAGGTAAGAGAGTTACCTGTGAACACTGGAGACGGTTTTCCAGGTCTCGATTTAAATTCTGGGTGGAATTGAACACCAACGTAATATGGATGATTGGACAGCTCAATGATCTATTTGTTTCAGACACCAAAGGGCACACTCGTCAGAATCCCACTATATTCCCAGGCATGGACAAATTCTGGAAACAGAAGAAGAGTAGAGGGAGAGAGGGAACGGGGAGGAAGAAAAAGGGTCGGTCATAATACCTCCATGCGTTGCCCAGTCTCATCCTTGCCAGTGAAGGAGAGCCCAGCATCTTCAAAACGTGCTACCATATCAGGATTCACCTAAATAGTGTAAGAGTCTTAGTGGAATGTGTCGAGCTATCAACCAAAGAACCAAACCAAATGATAACACTTGGATGCTCCGCCATACCTCATATCTATGCCGGTGCCTCTCATCAACGTAAGTTTTGCTTCCATATCTGGAAGTAGAAAGACAGAAAAGTTGGTTTAACTTTGACCGACAAAGGACTGCACTCATTTGTAAATATCTTCAGAAAGTCGTATTATGATCACTTACAACTTTGCAGATCTGCAGTCAGCCACATGGAAATAAGTCCTCCTTGACCCCAGTCGCATGGTACCACCCATGTGGGTTTTTGAGCCCTAAAAATAGTGGGGGGAAAGCATATTGGAAAAAGAATGAAAATGCAAGGAATTGCTCTGTAGGGGGAACCATGACAGAAGGTCAAACCTCAGGCATAAATATGACACACGGATTCTTGGTGTGAGTGTCGAACTCTGTGCTATTAGCGTCTTGCATATTGAGAACAGATCTTGCAAATTCAATGACAGCAATTTGCATGCCAAGGCAAATGCCAAGGTAAGGGATTCGGTTCTCCCGCGCATATTTTGCTGCAAGAATTTTCCCTTGTACACCTCTATCGCCAAATCCTCCAGGAACAAGAATCCCATCCGCACCCTGAAAGTGGAAGGGGCAGCATCATTGACCATTGGACCTCAGGACAGAGCAAATTAAACAAACAAATCACGTAGTTCTACTAGGCCCGCCACCAACCTTGAGCAACTTCCATGCAGCTTTATAAGCATCAGGGTTCTGCGAAGTCAGAAGAAGCCTTGTTAGTAATGTGAATAGGTCGGAAGATGAACTCTGAGTGCATGGTTTCTGACTGTAATTTTTTCCTTCACCTCTTGTACTGTTTCATCTTCTAGATCTGTAGCCGGAACCCAATCAACAACAAGTTTCTTCTGGAGAGCAACAGATGCATGCAAGAGAGCCTGCGACCATTATAACATAAAGCACATGAAAAAACGCCTCTTTAGTTTTGATAACATGAACATAGAAAGATGGTATAACCCCTTAAGAAAATTCTACAAGGTATTTACATGAACAATAAATAATGCATAAAACATGAAGCTATATCATCACCAATGAACTACTTAAGAAATGAGTCCCACCTTTAGAACAGAAAGGTATGCATCTGAAAGACCTGTATACTTCCCGACCATAGCGATTCGAACCTACAATGATGATTCAGACGTGAAATTTGAAAGCTGACAGTAAGAGAAGGCTGAAGTAAATGGATGAACACCGACTTAAGCCATACCGGTTCATGCAAAGCATCACAAAGTTCAGCCCTAGCTGTCCATTCCTTTAGGTCAGGCTCCTTGGCTACACTGTAATATATAATCACGTTAGGGTGCACATGCAAAGAACCGTACTCAAAAACAAATATAAGGGATGATAAAAAAAAACACAATCAAACACTAGCCAGTGAAGGTTTAGAACTCTCAATATGGCTTCATGAGCTTTCTGATCCTGAACAAACAAGCAAATGATAAAATGACAAGCTGGATCAAGTGACAGTTACAGGAGAAGCAATATGAAAAGGTGTAGCAATAACACTTACCCTTAGCAATAGAGGAATGTGCCAAATGTTGGGAACATCGTACAGAGTGACTATGTTTTCTGACTGCCAAACAAAAGTGGGCTTCTCAATTTAGCGAAGGCAGAAATACAAGAGAAATAAAGAAAGAACTGAGTAATAAACATGAAGATCAACCCACCGGAACATGGCAGAACTGCACAAGTTTCTGTTTTACATTATCTTCAAGCGCCTGCATAAACAAATTACAAAAAATTATTGTTACTCAGAGCCGAAGGCAAGTTTTATTTTTTTTTTGGTGCGTGGGGGGTGAAAGCAAAAGATAGATATGTACCGATGTGCTGCGACAAGCTAAGATATCCGGAGTCAAACCAAGGCCTCTTAGTCCCCGAACACTGTGCTGAGTTGGTTTTGTTTTCTGCAATGGATGATAATGCATGCTCAGGACATTATCTAGATATAATCCTTGTATAGCTCAAGCATGAAGATTCGCTTCAAATGTAAGTTGCGCAAACTCTTACCTGTTCGCCAACAACATTCAGGACAGGAACAAGACTAACATGAATGAGACATAAGTTTCCAGCACCTGTAACACAGATACCGTATCACAACAGAGACAACGATCATATAGCAACAGGTCTCGCTTAAATTGCAATTGATGAAATTAGAGAGCCAATTGTTTACCAACTCGATAGGATAATTGGCCCAGAGCCTCGATGAATGGCATGGATTCTATGTCCCCTGCAGGAAAAGCAAAGTTGAATCACTATGATGAATAGAAAACAAGTATCTCTTCCAAGGCTAAAGAATTCATCTCTTCACATGTACCTATAGTTCCGCCCAATTCAATGACACAGACATCAGCGGGGTCTGACGTTCCATCTACAGGTACCTGAGCAACACGCTGTATCCAGTCTTGAATGGCATCTGTGACGTGAGGAACAACCTGTACAGTTTTTCCCAGATAGTCTCCTCTTCTTTCTGAATCGATGACAGCCTATATGACACGATAAGACAGAAGAACTCAGAATCAAGAGGGCCGGCACTTAAAACAATTATCGGAATCGTCAAAAGGTTTAAATACATAAAAAGGAGAAGCATGGACTTTAACCAGCTTGCCTGTGTTATCTTTCCAGTAGTGATGTTATTGTCCCTCGTCAGTTTGATATCAAGGAACCTCTCATAGTTTCCAAGGTCAAGGTCCACCTTTTAAACAAAAGAAAAGAGTCATTTCAGGTTCACTTCAGATCAACTTTCAACCTTTCCACCTCTAAAATTGAAGGTGACCCAACTTGATAACCGGTGGTGCACAAGCTCAACCTCAATCAATTTACAGTACTTCAGACAAAAACAAAAAAAAATTGAGCCTGCAAACTACAAGTGGAAAAAGTCTAAGAAAGATGGAGCTACGGCTACCACTAAAATGTCCATAAGAACCCAAGCTTAAACAAACAAGACAAAACCTTAAAGTGCTTAAAGACCGATAAAAGGAATTCCTCGCTTCCCATGGGAAACATCCACAACCAATGGTTGCCAAAACTTGGAAAAAGCTAAAAAGGGCATCCTTATTTACCTCACCCCCGTCATCAAGGACAAACACCTCGCCATGCTCAAAAGGTGACATTGTTCCAGCATCAGTGTTCAGGTAAGGATCTGAAACAGGGACAGATAACGGAAAAAAGGAAGAAGCTTTAATAATATACTTAAATAAGAAACAGACTAGCCCACTACTGTGGCTCACCAAAAAAAAAGCCAAAGCATCCCACCAAAATAAAATGAGAAGAGGGTAAAACAACTCAACCATCTGCTTGATGAATGCTTCCAAAACAATCAAAGGGATACCAGAAACGATAAAAACCGCCAACCACTACCAGCTAGTTACAATCCTTGCAATGCCCTTAAGGAAACAGTAAATTGGATTTTGGTCGTTGATAAGAAATTTCAAAGTGCAGCTTGAGCATAGCAGAAAAGGTGTAATTGCTTGATTAAATTATCATGATTACAGAAATGAGCAGGCGAAGATAACCACGCACGCGCACTAATCCATTATTTTAATTTTCAATTCTAAAACAAAGCAACAGAAAAGGGACAGATGAAATCAAGAAAGAAACAGAGTGGGTCTGAAGGTTCAAAGAGATAACAGGATAGGAATGAGAAACTAAGCGGAAACAACAAAACTAAATGAGGGTATATTCTGCTCTATCTGAGATCTGGAATGCCATTAAACGTAGAGCTCCAAACAAAAGCGAGAAAGCAAAGCAGCAAGAATTCAAAATCAAAAGCGCCCAAGTGCTAGAAGAAGCCGGAATAGGTGACTGCCGGCAGTAGTTTGTTCTGCAGGTGCAGCCATAGATAGCTATATGGACCAAAGAAAAATCAACCTAACGAACAAGCATGGGCCAGAGAGGCGCAGAGGGAGAAAAAGCAGAGGAGAAGAAGAAGAAGAAAGAGACCGATTTTGATAGCAGTAACTCGAAGTCCACAAGCCTTCAGAATGACGCCGACACTGCTGGCGGTCACTCCTTTCCCGAGTCCGCTCACCACTCCTCCAGTCACAAGCACGTACTTCATCGTCAATTTTTTTGGTTGTTCTTGATGCTAATGAGCTTTTCTCGCACCCAAAAAAAATTATAAAACAAAAATCTCTCCTTCTGGGGGAAAAAAATCAAATAGAGCATCGGTATGAGAACAGTCATTGCAAAACCCGACAAAGGGAGAGAACGGAGGAAAGCAAGGGAGGAGAACCTTAGAAACTCCGTCAATGGCGGTTGTCAGCTGCAGCCACCGCGGGAGTAAGTTGAAGAAGAAGCTAGGTCGCAGGAATAAGGGTAGAACGGGGTTGGCAATGGTTGGGAGAGCGAACCGCTGACAAAACAAACTCGGTCGATTCGAATTTGGGTGAAGTAGGAATAGGTGGAGGAATCGGGAGCAGAGTGGGGGAATGGCGAATGAAGCGAGGGAGTGGAGTGTAAGATTGGAGGAGCGGCGGAGGGGAGGAGGGAGAAGAAGAAGGCGGAGGGGGAGGCGGCGGCGGCGGCGCGGGAGGGAGGGAAGGGGAGAAAAGAAAATGATAAGAGAGTGAGGGAGGGAAGTTTGGAAGAGAAATGGGGAAAAGGAGTTGTTGGTTTTAGGGAGAATGAGAAGCTGATGGGCTTCAGCCTACAGGTATTGGCGGCCTTTTATATCCGCAACTGCCCCACTTTGCTCAGCCCAGGCAGTGAGAGTACACACACTACTAAACTCGAGCGAACCAGCGCTTTAGAGGTTTTTTTCCCTTTTTTTTTCCTTCTTCATTTTTTGCTTGATAGGAAAACTGTAACATCCTGAACCTTTTTCTGACAAGATATTGTCCGTTTTGGGCCTTTACACCACTACGGATTTTGACTTGGGGTGCAATTCAGGGTGACTTCCCATAAGGTCACTCATCCTTGTTGTGCTCCGCACAAAGCACGTTTAACTTCGGAAATTTCACAAGAACTCTTCCATTTCACCCCAACGCGTATTGTCAGTTAATGTAGGTTTCCTACATATGAATCATGGATCTCTCCCGTGCTTTGTCGATGTGGGATTCGCCAAAGGTGTTACAAATACAAGAAAATAAAATAAGACGCGAATAAAACATAGTTAATGTCTTTTCCATGTTTTTTTATATACATCAAAGATAGTTTGCATTATCAAGAAATTCGAGATGTAATGTTTACAACTCCACACGGAAGCAAGCGCAAAATTGAAGCCGAGTATATTCATAGAAAACAAAACGAGGGCCCTGTTAGTTACCTTAGAGGTTACTCTATTGTTCTTCTTTTTATCGTAATCTATAGTGACTTCATTAATAAAATGTTGCAGTTACAGTGTCCAACATTATCTTATCAACAAGGAAAATAGGTAGTGTATCAAACCAAACCAAACCACACTCTAGTTCCATCTCAATTTCGAATGGGACATGATATGAGTTGCCAGATTGCATTCTCTAGGGAAACCGCCAAGATCCATTTTGTCTCCTGTAGGAGCTTAATTATACTTCTGCAAACGACTCCATTCTCTGTGAGGGTGCTTCCTGCTATCGCTAGCTTGTGAATGAGCGAAAGACAATTCGTTCTGAGGACCAGGCTGGTCATATTGGCTTGTACAAGAAGCTACAAAGCAAATTCTGATGCAAGGCTTCAGGAATCTCGGGACTTCCACGTCCAAGAACCTTCTTCGCAGCAGCAAGGATAAATTTTCCCTCGGCATTGCAAATAACCACGCCTAAACGAAGACCACCCGCAACAAAAAATATGACATTTGTGTTAATCTTTAAGTGCACATGGCTCGATTTCTGCCAAAGTTTTCCCGCAGTGGTCTCTACTGTGACGTCATCACTAACCTCGTACGAGTGATAGTCTACGATAAACAAAAAAATTTCATGTAAACAATCTCATTCTCTGTCAGTTTAATATCATTAAACATGTGAGCATTTCGTTCTTTCCATAGAAACAACAAGAGCACACTCCAATCTTCCAACTCGCCCTCCTGCTTAGTTTCTAGCACGGCTTTGAACCACGAATAGCAGCAATCCGAAAGACGACAAGCACAACAATCAGTCAGCTTCAACCTACGGCATAACCTAGTGGACCACTCATATTCCCCAAAAATATGAGTTTGAGTCTCACGGATGTCACAAATTGGACATTTGTCACCCCGCTTTTTGCTCTACGTACTTATATGATCCTCGTAGGAAGTATGTTTCTAGCAAAGAACCATAGCGAGGGCTTAGATTTTTGAAGGAACGTTCAATTCCCATAAATGTTTCCAAACATGAACTTCCTCGGCAAGTTTGCGAGCTTTAAAGTCCTCTAACCAAATGCGATACCCAACTCGCACCATGTAATCCCCAGAAGTGTTCCCATCCAGATTAGCCTATCATTTTCCTTAACGTTACGTAAAGGTATTTGGTGAATGACATCAACTATCTAGGTAGGGAAACACACCACAAGAAACGACCTCATCCCACTACTCTGTGTACTGTTAAATAAGCTCTCCTACAATAGCGCCGACGGGGAGTCCCGTTAGGATTGAACTGACATAGGCCACATGGGAGATAGGGGAAGCCCGCTATTTATGAAATCATGTGAATTCATTAAACTACTCCTAATAAAATGGATCCAAAATCCTAGGTGAGCTTAAAGTCTGAATTACCTAATAAATAGAGCCACCCTTCGCATCTATCGAGCACCCAGTGTTGACTTTGTCAATGAGCGTCTTAGCATTGCCAATCAGACACACCAAGGTGAGGCCCTTCCTAACACACCAATGGATTGTCTCTCAGAGTGCCACCAACGCTGGCTCCAGAGCACCCTCAAAGTGATCCCGGCGAGCTAGCACCACACCCCCAAAATTATCCTACAAAACCATACCAATAGCCTCATCAGAATCCTGACACATGGCCCCATCTAAAGAACAAACCATCCTTGTCTTTGGACTTAAATCCACATTATCAACCTGAGGGCCCTGGCACACACCCCGAAGAGCTCCTAGCCTCCCAATTGGTAATGACGAACCACTCTTGCACCTACCCCCAAATGATGTAAGCACGCTGGCCATCAAGAAGGTCAATTTTCAAGCATTCCAAGTAGTTCTAAAATCAAAGAAGAAGGAAGTGCTGAAATTGGCTAAGTGCGGAGCAACTTTAAGGTGTCTACCTTGGGCGCTTACCCGTTCATATTGGGAGCTCGTTGAGGGAAGCTAGGAGTTTGAGGTGAGAGTACAAGTCTTTCCAAAAGATTGTAAAATCGTTGGATGAGAATATTGAAGTTTCCTGGATACCAAACGATCAACCTGAAGATCATATGGTGATTAGGAAAAAATCCCCTATCATATGAGGTATAATCCCCTATAGGGGATCTGAGGTTCATGATAGGGAATCATGGCAGGTGACCGGGGATCACAAGAAGGAGACCCCCCCCCGGTCATGAGGAATCTAATCCCTAATAAGGATCTAATGGTGCATGATAGGGGATTTGGCCCTAACAAATTGAACTTACCTTTTGAGTTTACGAGTCTTTTCCTTTTCAGGTTTTTGTTTCTCTAGCCTATATAAAGTCCTTAAACTCTAGTTTTCTAGCATAATTTTGTCTGATTGAAAAAACCTCTTTTTTTCACTGAGCTTTTGGCTTGTGAATTTTGCTCTCATCATTGGTGGACTCCAATCGCGTTAAGTGTGTCTCTGTATCAATGAAGCATCCATCTTGATTGTGGTCAAGCTTCTACCATATATTGATAGAGCCTTCTCCTAGGTGTGAGATTGCACTTCAATTTTGTCGTATCCCTATATTTAATTCTTGTTTTAGGTTGTGGGACTTTGATAACACCGGTTGCGTGCTCATATCAAGTGGTATCATAACTTCGGTTCAACATAGTGGTGAGGAAGACAACGAAGGTACAAACCCTGGAGCCAAACCTTGCAGACACAATGAAACAACTTGTAGCACAGATGGCTCATATGGGAGTTTTGCTTCAAACCATGGCTGATTAGAGTTTGAGTTCTCCGGTGCAACAAAGTTTGAGTGTTGAGGAATTTGAGGTTGAGCTAGAGGACGAGTCGAAGGATGGCTTCGCTTATAGCGAGTTCCTTGAAGGCAGTAGAGTGGTATCTTCAACACCAGTCACTCTAGAGCGAAAGAAACTCGAAGGGATTGAATCCTCGACCAACTGTCCAAAACCACAAAAGGATAATGGAGATTTCTACATTAATGGTCACGGTAGAAAGGAGCAGATGGCTTATCTCAATCGTTTTTACAACTATTGTGATGATGATTCTCTTGCCATATTCCACAAGCTATGAGGGAAAGGCCTTTCCAACGAGAAGGTACTGATTTAAGCACGCTAGGCATCAAGAAGGTCAATTTCCAAGCATTCCAAGTAGTGCTAAAATCGAAAAGGAAGTGTTGAAATTGGCTAAGTGCGGAAACAACTTCAAGGGGCCTACTTTGGACACTTACTCGTTCATATTGGGAGCTAGTCTATGGAAGCTGGGAGTTGGAGGTGAAAGTACAAGTCTTCCTAAAGATCGTAAAGGTGTTGGGTGAGAAGATTGAAGATTCTTGGACACCAAACGAGCAACTTGAAAATCGTATGGTGATTAGGGAAAAATTCCCTTGCCATGTGGGTTATAATCCCTTATAGGGGATCTAAGGTTCGTGATGGGGGATCATGGAAGGTGACAGGGGATCACAAGCACGAGACCCCATTGGTCATGAGGGTTCTAATCCCCGATAAGGGATCTGATGGTGCACGATAGGGGATTTGACTCTAATAAGTTGAACTTACCTTTGGTGTTAAGGAGTCTTTTCTTTTTCGGGTTTTTGTTTGTGCAGCCTATATAAAGGCTTTAAACTCTATTTTTGTAGCGTACTTTTGACTAATTGAAAAACCCTATTGTTCATTGAGCTTTTGGCTTGTGAATTTTGCTCTCGTCGTTGGTGGACTCGAATCGCGTTGTGTGAGTCTATGTATTAATCAAGCATCCATCTTGATTATGGTCGAACTTCTACCTTATATTGATAGAGCATTCTCCTAAGTGTGAGATTGCACTTCAATTCTTTCGTATCCCTATCTTTAATTCTTGCTTTAGGCTGTGAGACTTTGATAACTACGTGCACCGATTCCGTGCTCGTATCAAAAAAGCTGGCTCTATAGTAATTGAATACAAATTTGCTTAAATTCAAAGACCACCCAATTTCTGGCCTTCCAAATCCGCCAGCCTATAACGTGAATGGCATTCTTTGGGGAAGAAACATGTTGCAGAACATGTCAAAGAAAGATTACAACATTAACCATATCAAGACCCACAGTCAGCGGTCAGAGACCAGATGCATCCCATAAGGCTTCAGCTAGAGGGCAAAAGTAGAATAGATGCCCCCATCATTTCCATATATGGACGACAAAATGGGCGACAAACATCACCTCCACCTCTTTACCAAGTAAGGCATCAATCATAAGAAGAATATGAATGAGCACTTTCCAGAGAAAGAACAACAGTTATGGTTGAATCAGGTAACAACATATCTCCATACTAACTTCTTATCCATCAAACTCACCTCGTTTCTCTACTTTCCCCTTGTGGACTCAGTCTAAGGGCCATGTGATATCCCGACTTCATTATATACATCTC